AACTCAAACATTAAAATGTACATACCTAGTATTTAAATATTTAACATTTTTATTCATAATTTTATGTCCGGAAAATTAATTATAAAAATTAAAAACATAGCTGTCCTAATGAAAGTGAAGATTTTTGCATAGAAATTATAACATTTAATGAACAAAATAAAATTACATAAATAAACCTAAAATGAATAAATGACACATGTAAATTGAACTTTTTAAAAAAAAAATTAAATAATGGCTGTCGACTGTCATTTATTCAATTTTGAACTTAGAGCCAAGTATTATGAGTCAAATCGACTTGAAAAATGTAGGTCAGTCAAAATCGTGTGCTAAAAATAGGGGTTAACATTTAAAAAAATACATTCTGTACTGCTCATTCACGCACCATGAGTGTTAAAAATTTGAAAACTTCACAAAACATGTATTTCAGTACTACCTAGGTTCCTCCCAAAATTAATTTTAATACAAGTACATCCGGCCGAAGTACTTAGTGATGCTTTAAACCGTGATCACACTGTATATAATTAATCCTATTTAAATTATTGTGAAGCCGTTGTATCTTGTATGCATAAGATTATTATTATTTACTACATGAGTTATTATATTTTCCTAACATGCGTCCTTATTCATTCATATTTATTTTTTCATTTACCTTTAATACTATGATTAACAGATACCTAAAATTATTTAACAAAGTACTTTTGCATTGATTATGAACACATGACATTTATAATAAATTATGCTATATCTATAAAAACTAAAAGTGATCAATGCTGGAGTTTATTATTTATTTTATAATTCCCCCGGTGTGGGTCTGCGTCGTACGAATAGGTTGAAGAAAGAGAGTTCTATTTTTTTTTAGTTAGCTATTCTTTTGGATGTAAAAACATAATATATTTTATTGTTATAATAACCATGTTTCCGTGCACTCGGCCGGCCGATATAAATTTTGCTCATCCGGTCTTTTGTCTGATGCTAGAATTACATTGACCATATTATTATATCATATCATATTATATTATTGTGTTAGTCGTTATAGATGTAACATTTGCACCGCACAATTATGTTATTCCATAAGTGTTTTCAATATAATACATAGAATGTCAATTTTCATCACCACACATGACAAACATATGGCACACACACGCCCACACTCTAACATCATATATATATAATATCAATAATATCATATATAATCTAAGTACACACCGCTATACCAATAGAATGACACTGTAAAATTATATTATATTGCAGGTATTATCTGTTAGCTACGATTCATTATCACAAGATAATTAAATAATATTTTCAAGGTAGGTGTCGGCTTATCTTTAATTATGTATAAGATAGGATACGATCGCTAACGGTCCGTACGCGAGAATTAGTTGTTCAATAATTAGCAGCCTCGATAAAAAAATCGAAACGCAGCACACACTGAAGATAAAAAATTCTGTATATTAAAAATTAAAAAGCTGGTAAGTGGATGTCGCTCTGCTGTAGGTACATTAGTTGTCTAAGGTATCAAATTTGAATTCAATGATATCATATCATTGTATACGAAAACCTATTCTGAGCGGAGACGGTATGTCAGTCCAGGATATTTAATAGTTATTACTTGTTATTATATGGTAGCTGGTAAGTTGAATTAATATTATTCTTGAATTATCCTTGATGCTGGAAAAATATTAAATATACTTATGTAAAATTGGGCTATTTTGGAACCGAATTACTACAAAATGATAAACGTTATTCTTTGTGTTAATATGCAACTTTGTCCAAATTTGAACTTTAAATGTCTGTAAAAAAATAACTGCATTCATATATTTTTTAGATATTTTAATAGAACTGTTTAATTGGAACCTTATTTTACATTTTCAATCCTTAGCCATAGAAATTGAAAATGTTATACATTTTTAACTAGAAAATCATTTTCAATTTTTAATTTGATAAATATTCTCAACATTTTAACTTTAAATGCTTATAAAAAAAATCATTCATAAGTAAAAAAAGCTGAAAAAAATGAAAATTGAAAATGTCCGTCAACAGCTTAAAACAAATCTAAACATTTTGAAAATTGTATTAAGTATATGAATCGATAAAATAAATATATTTATATAAAGCAAATATTTTGTCAGAATTCAGAATTCTAAGTTCAGACGCTCATAAAAAATTATTGTGGTTTACGATTAAGTACCTTTTTTTTAAATTTCTATTAACAAAAACTTACAAGGAACATTGTATTACATTTTCAAGTTTTTTGACACAGCGAAAATTTTTTTATCGACTAGAGTTTAAAAAAACAAATAATGATCGAAAAATTAATATGCCTATAAATAGTTCAACACAAATCAAAGTATTTTGAGAATTTTATGGTATATAGAAAATGCTTACACAAATATTCAGTGAAAATTTCATGTATCTAAGGTCATTTTTGTCAGAGTTACAATAAAAACCAAAATTGATTTTTCAAAAAATGGTTTTGCTTAAAAATTCCATAATTTTTTGGTTGTTTTTAGTGTTGCTTTTTTGTGTTGCAAACTATTGTAAATTTTAAATTTTGACTTCCCGAATGCACCAACTCGATTCACTTTCCTACTAAAAAAGTTGTTGTTATTGAAGAAAACTGAAGCACTTTTACCGCAAGAAACCGTGATGACAGACACAATAAAAAAAAAAATAAATAAATAATGTAAAAACACAAATCATTGTAAAATCAATACATTCATCACTCCGCTGAGAAACTAAAAAATGAATAGCCATCGATAGTGTTTTGCCTTAACGCTGTCTATTTAGTCATATTATTTAAGTATATTTTATCGTACCACAATAACAACACCCACATTTCGTCATAATATTATTGTGCCTTATCTCAAAAAAAAACAATAAACTTCCGTGTTCACCAAATAATGACCTGATTGTTTCGTTGTCTTTAGAAAGGCTTTCGGCAATACTTACATTATCGGATATTTAACTGAAAATTGAAATATAAACAACCCGACGATCGCTCTCGTCTAAGAAAATAATAAATAAACATTCAATAAAGTCTACAATAAAAATAATTAGTTTCTCAATTTTCAATTTCTAAGTTTTTTCAGTCTTAGGGTTGTTTTAAAAAAACTCAGCCACTTCGTGGTCCACCGAATAACTGTAATTACCAAAATACCCCCTAGGAGTCCATGGACCACCGGTTAAAAATCCTCCGACTTATAGGTTAACTGCAGTATACTACTTGAATATCTACTTCATTAGAATAACGTAGTTTTCCGATGTAAGTTCAAAAAATGTTATTGTAAAGTACGAACATCACAATGTTTTAAGAAAGTAAATACAACGGGCTTAGGCTATAGCGAACGTCACTGACTTAGATAAATCACTAAATCACAGAGCTCATAATAAAAATCTATATACAACAATGTCTTAATAATTATAATTAACTATTAAGTCATGTGCTTACCGTCGATCATTGAAAAAAAAATCGTAGTCCAAAAAAGGAAAATAATTTTTTAGTTCTTAAAAAAAATGTCTACAGTTACACTACTTACACTGTTTAATGTCTTAGAGTAAACATTATGAGACGTATTTGCACAATATTGTGTCTGTATGACACTCTGAGTTTAGAAAAAGGAGTCGTGGGTAGGCAATATTTAAAACACTCAAGCTAGTATGGTTGTGTGCGCTTCTCTGTCACGGCTTTAGATACTCAGGTTACAAATTGACAAGTAATGAAGTAAAGCCATTGATTATAAACACAATCTATAATATATATTATATAATATGTCAATTTATGTGACAGGTGTAGGTTTAATTTAGGGTTGACTTGGAAGGTGCTCAGATCCTTCAATATTAAACTTAGTTCCTCAACAATTTTGTATAATAATTGAAGCATTAAATTCTTCATTAATTATCTAATCTACATATTTCAGTCAATATTGTTCGAAGAAATTATTTTCTTAAGTTTAAACAACGATTCATTATTAGTGTGTTTTTCATAATAGATATCGGATCTACTTATAGAACATAATATATGTTTAATACACAAATCTTTAACTATAGCTATAGTATAGTTATATATCTGAGGTTTAATCTAATAGTTTTGCATATTATTAATAAATTACAATGCACATTACTGGTAAGTCATAAGTGATTAAATATGTTAAATGTACCTACATCATAATATATTATGATGAACAATTTTAAATCAAGGAGATAGTATTTTACAGAGTATTCTGTGCAGGAAACTAATTTACTTTTTACTTATTTATTTTTTGTTATAATTTTATTCGACATTACTAAGACAAACATATTATTAATTTATATATTACGGTTTTTGCATAGTAAATAAATAAACATAGTGTTAATACCTAATAGTTAACTCAGACTTCATTGGAGTTAATTCGTTGACTATAGTAAATCGTCATATGATAAAAATTGGTTTTCTATGAGAGATGAATTTAAAAACAAGAACCAAATGTAATTTTGAATATACAATTAACATAAGATTTTATTAAAACGAAATACTAATATGAATTGCACCACCACTCATAAAGTTGGTGGTTTTTATCACAGATATAGAATATTATAATGTGACCAAGACAAGTCACTGTATTTTTCGATAGTCCGTAAGTACACATACAAGCAGCAGGCCCCCTTCCTATCACCAACATGAAAGAGTAAGTTGAGAGAATCAACAGAGCGACAATGTTAGTATCCCGAAGTAGCAGTTGACAAGAATGAGCATTGGCTATACGTAGCAGTGCTAATACCTTATCCTTTCGACTGCTCTGCAAGCCATGTGATATCATTGAAAACTAATTGTTTTCCCTTAAAAAACACAAGTTTATTAATTTAAAATGCCAAAATAACAGCTTCAATCACAATGATAATATAAATAATAAAATATATGGAATGCAATAATGCAACAATTAACAGAACACATATAAAAATTTAAAAAAAATATAAACCAACTAAAATATAAATTTAAGCCTAAACCTCATGAAATAATAATTGTATAAATTACACACCACCCATCAGTTGATTGGTTTCACAATACAAATTTGTTTAAAACATTTTTAAATTTTATGTTGAGCAATGACAACATATTTAAAATTTTGCTCGTAATTCAGCTATTTTGTGACTCATAAGTTTTTGTAAGTCAACTAATTTTAATGCTAAGCCCATGTTTCCTTGAATTTTAATTTTGCCTTGGAAAAATGCTTTTTGAGGATTTAACTTCCCAGATATCAGTTCAACAACATCTTCGTCTTTCATTGTGAATGTTACATCCGGTTTACCTGTAAAGAGTAAGCCAACATACAATTTACAAAAAATATATTATTACAAATAGTTATAATAACAAGATTGGTTATTATTTGTGTAAACATTTTAATATTGAGAAAAAATTATTATTTTAATAATTAAAACCCATATAGAATAATGTATTATTTCAAAAATAACTATTTTAATCGAGCAATTTGTTCATACATATTTTGTTTGACTATTATACAAATAATTCTTAAAGCTAAAAATATTGGTCCATTAAAACTCTACTTCATAAATGTTATGAATAAATTTTTAATTTGCTTACAGACTAAAGTTATACCCACTATTACAGATAATGTTCTATCTATAATCATAGTTATATAATATAACCACTTAATTACTTAGCAGATGATAAATTCATGTTGTGTAATACCTGTGCCATAAAACGTTATGCTTCCTTTTCCATTTTTTGCATCTATAATCCACATGCCTTCTTTTCCCTGGGTGTTTGTCACTTTGAAACAATATATACCACGTACTCTTTCTATTATATTTTCCTTGTCATCCAACATGGCTTCTTCAAGAATTTTGAAAATTTTAAATACTTTAAATACAGTTGGATCTTTATCCGTAGTTGGTTTAGCCACTTCTAGTTTTTGTATTCTGTAACATAAATATCGATAAATGTACAACTCTGTTTCGGACAAGTTATTAGGTAATTGTAGTGTTGTTTGCTTACTGAGGAGACTGGGGAAATCCTTGTTTGTACAGAGCTACTACGACTGCACCTCCTAAACCAATGTTTTGTTGAAGAGCTACCTTGGCGCCTGGTACTTGTCTTTTTCCAGCTTTGCCGAGTAGTTGCCAATACAATTCACTACACTGCGCAATTCCTAAAACGTTGTTAAAAACATTAATGATTTTTGTTAGAGATTAATTTTTAGTAATTATACTAGAAAAAATATTTATATATCAGTAACTAACATTTGCATATAAATATTGGCTATGTTTCCTTTAACTCAAGTAATGTTTTAAACTAACATTCTAATTGCTTAGTTTTTTTTTAAATTGCAGTTGCTGAAATGTTTAATTTAAAACTATACTCTGTCTCAAAAGAGAAAAATCACTTTTTGCGTATCGAGAACCATGTGATTACGCTAACACTGGGTCGTTGATGGGAAATTCACAGCGATGACAAAAGTCGGTCAGTCAACGGACATTTTTCTTTTGAGACAGAGCAATTAAATGTCAAATATTTTTAAAAATAAATAATTTGAAATAATTATACTAACTAATATGTTAAATGTTTAACATTGAATTATTATTGTATTCAACAATGAAATTATAAGATTAGAACTAATTTATGACTCATAACTTTGACCTATTAATTAAAGACAAATATCCAATACAAACATACAATAGTAAATTGTTGGTACCTTAGTAAAAAATACATTGTTTTTGAAAAATAAAAGTTTTGGTGGTATTAGATTTATACTTCCAAGGCCAAAAAATATAACCAAAACATTACTGTCATTTCCCCAGTTAAGAATTGTATTTTGGACCTCATTCAAGACTCTCAACTGGTTTAAAATATTGCATAATTTAATTGTATTCAATTTTTAGAAATGAATTACCTGTGGCACCCAAAGGATGGCCTTTGGAAATTAAACCACCACTTGGGTTTACGACGACTTGCCCCCCATACGTATTTGAACCAGACTCAATAAACTCTCCAGCTTTTCCTGGTTTACAAAGCCCCAAGGCTTCATATGTAATTAATTCATTTGCAGAGAAACAATCATGTAATTCTACTACATTAACATCTTCTGGCCTGATAGTGGTCTTACTAAACAATTTATCAGCTGCCAATTTGGTCATGTCATATCCTACCTACAAAGATTATACGTTTACATAAAATAACTTTAAATACAATTACAATAATATACATCTAATATTTATGATTTACTATTTGAACACAAGTTTGACCAGAGAATGTGGTTGGTGGATCGGTAGCCATCTCCATTCCAACAATTTCAATTGCTTGATCCTGAAGATTATTTTTAATGACAAATTGTTCAGATGCTAGAATAGCTGCTGCTGATCCGTCAGATGTTGGACAACATTGAAGTTTTGTTAATGGACCAAATACTTTCGGTGATTCAAGGATTTCATTTAATGTATACTCTTTTTGAAATTGAGAATATCTGAAAATAATTAATAAATTTCAATTTATATCATTAACTAATTAATTTATTTTATTTAAATGTAATACAATGAATACTAGGCCCCAGAAAAATTTTTAGTGAATAGTTTGATACAATTTAATAGACAGTACATTTAATATAAATATTACATAAAAATAAAACTGGTCTTTGTATTTATTAAATCAAATTTTTGTTATAATAATATTTTTAATTTAAGTGGATTGGTGGCGGCGGTGACGACTATCTTTGTCTAACACATGCGTTACATAAGAAATCAGAGGTGTTTTTTGCCAAACGTAGCGATTGTTAAAGTGAAGCGATAAGAATTCTGAAAACAGATTTGAATTTGTCGTCAAGTCTACTTGAGATCGGTCAGTCTACATTTTTGATTTTAGATTCTGAGTGAAACGATGAATGTTTTTTTATTTTTATATTATTTTTATCGTTTCACTCAGAATCTAAAATCAAAAATGTAGACTGACTGATCTCGAGTAGACTTGACGACAAATTCAAATCTGTTTTCAGAATTCATATCGCTTCACTTTATCAATCGGTACGTTTGTTGAAAAACACCTCTGAATTCTTATATTGCGCGTGTGTTAGACAAAGACAGTCGTCACCGCCACCGATCCCCTTAAGATAGACACTGTTTTATTAAAAATTTAATTTTTGATATCTTTAGAAAAAGTATTGAATTAGTTAATATATATTTGATGTAAAAGGTTTTTGATTTTTTTTTGTTAAATTAAAAGTGCATATAATACTAGGTGTTCCATTAAGAATATCGAAATTGAATTGTCTATGAGAGATAGGCAGTTTTGTTACCAGAATTGAAGTTTGCCAGCATAACCAATGGGTTCATATTATTATGTCTCATGTTATATTCAATACGTAAATTGGAGAATAATAATGAGAGTTAAATCCAGTGTTCTTAATGAAAATATAGATAATATTATAAATGGTTAATTAATATAATAATTAATAGAATAAATGTATTTATAATAATCATAATTCATAAAAATGTTTGTATAATTGTGCGATAATTTTTTTTTTTTTCTGAGACTTAGAATTTAGAAATATATGCTAACGGGTTGTTAACTGAATGTTTGTGGTTCTTATGGGCTATTTTAGCAAGTGTTTCAGGTTTTATGCCATTTTTGTTCATATATTCCAAAGCTGCATTTCCAAAAAGTTGTGCAGTTATTGGTGCTCCATCTAAACCAACTAAATCGCCCATTAGTGTCACATGTTTGTCCATCGGATTTGTTCGATCTAAAAACTAATAAAAAAAGCTATATTTACCTACACATAATGGTGTTCAAAATATATATTTATGATTTTTTACTTTAGCAGATAATGATCCAGATTCCATTTTTTCAAAACCAAGTACTAATACACATTGTGCATTTTGAGATTCGATTATTTGTTTACCCAAGTATAGAGCTGTAGATCCAGTTGAACAATTATTGTTGACATTATAAATAGGTATTCCAGTCATTCCTACTTCATACAAAGCTCTTTGACCACAAGTAGAATCACCTTAAATGTGGTTATAATAATATATTATTATGGGTATAATGTAATCTACATTAATTATTTGTTCTAAGTTGTATTACCATATACATATCCCACACATGCTTGATCCACTTCATGAATGCTGATTTTTGCATCTTGTAGAGCTTTAGTAACAGATTCAACTGCCATTTGTGGGTAATCAAAGTCATCCCTACGACCTGGTTTTTCAAACTAAAATAGAATAAAATGTATTGTTAAAAACCAGTTTAAAACATAAATATTTTAAGACTTTAATACTATAGATATAAGTGTATAATACACAACATTTAACAGAGGGTTTAATAATTTTATAAAATATATTAAATTGCTATCATTTTCAGACCAGGCTTTAAAAGTTAATAGTATAAAAAATATATAAATACTATAAACAACATGCTACTCACACCAAAACAAAAAATATCATGTCTTACAGATAAATACTAAATACATAAAAATAAAAAAAATATACTAGTCCTATATATAATTTTTATAGTGATTAATGGCACCTGGTGGAACCTTGTGGATAGATTTTTTTATGATTTTCAGAACACAATCTTTAATACACCATAATCAGTGTCTGCAATGTTCACTAAATAGGGATATTTATTTACGTTTAGTGCTTAAAAAAGGAACACGTTCACATTCGAGTTCTTTGAAAAAGTAAACCCGTATATATTTGGTCGTTCTTTTAAATTTTTTTTTTTATTTTCATAAATCATATGAGTTCTAATGCAAAATTGTAGAAATTATAATACTATTGTTGTTTTAAGGCAAGCCGTGGTGGAATTTCACATATTTTATTTTTGTAATTTGTAATCAAATAAATATAACAAGAATATTGTAATAGAAAAAAGTTATTATATAATATTATTAATCAATATTTATTAATTTGTAAATAAATTTTAACGTCTTCAATATTGTTCAAGTTCTATTTGGAAAAAAACCCAGGGACGTTCACTAAATATGAACCTGAACGATGTTCTTTCCAAACACTGACCATAGTTATATTGTTTTCATTGTCACAATACAATATTTGTACATAATTCGATGGTGTTTTGTTAAAAGGGCGTATACCACATAATTGAAATTGTTCAGGATGAACAAAATAGTGTTTTTAAAAATGATATCGTTGAAATCGGTTGATCTCGGATATACCTTCATATAGTAGACATGTTGATAATTTGATAATACTTTTCATTAAAATGATTAAATATATGTGAATTATATTTATTATCATTCAAAGTGATAGTAGTCGTGGTATGCGCCCTTTTATAACATAGATTTTCGAACGCCCATACGTTAAAGCTGTACACATGTGGTATACGCCCTTTAAACCAGTTCAATATTTTGAACGTCTTATTGTCAAAAGTTATTTTGTGTTGTATACGCCCTTTTAGCATTACAGATTTTTTGAAAGCCTCTGTACAACACTACATCTTATAATAATTATTGTTTTATTATACCTAACATAAATAGTCAATAATAATAATAATGGTATTATTATAATTTATTATTATAAAAACAAGACATATAATATTATTATCACAAATTAAAAAAAAAAAAAAATCATAACTATTAAAATACATGATACAAAATCTTGTAAAAGTATAACAAACTACAAGCATTTTCTTTTGCTAATATTATAAAAACAACAAATATATTGATTTATCACAAATTAAAATAATTAATTCATACCTAATAAAAGTTAATAATAAATAAAATTTAGATTTAAAATGTATTAGGTAGGTAACTACATTTGAAATCCATTATAGTTTATTAATCTACTCATCTTCATCAGTTTCTGGAAGACTATCTCTTATTGCTGATTTATATGGCAGATTTAAATATTCTTGTTGTTAACATTTAGGAATAACATTTTTTGTACATAAATTACTTAGGTCCTTGTATTTTACTAGATTTAAAGGCAATTTATTTGTATATATTTGTTTTGGATTAGCTAATAAAGTTAAATCAGATGATCTTAAACGTTTGTTTGCTTCCAAGTCAATAATATTATAATTCAGATTTTCAAATGAATAACTAAATTGAATTTTGTTTGGATTATCTTTTATCAAAATAATACTTCTTATTGTTTTGAATTTTACTTGACAATCATTAGTATCCTTAATTTTTGGTTTATTAAAAATTGAATTGCACACTTCTGTCCAATCTAAAAAGTCAATATGGCTTAAAACAATTGTTGTGTAGGGACCAGCATTTATTCTAGAGTTTCTAATGACTGTTGGCCACTCAGAAGGGGCCCATATAATTTTTTTTTTTATGTTTTTCTCAATACATGCATGTATTGAGTCTACTGGCATATAGGTATGACCAGGAAGTAAATAATTTATAGTAATAGTTTTAATATTGGTTGAACATCTTACAAGAAAATAATGTAGCATCGAAATCATTTTATGGTTTTTATTTTGCCCAGGACAACTGTCACAGTAAAAAGCTATGTCCTGAATAATAGGACTTCTCTCATCAACAGATTTCAAATATGAAAATATAATACTGCTTATTTCATTCGATCCCCTAAGACCATCAACCTCTGACCACAAATAACAAAATCCTGCTTTTGAGTTACTTTCATACACACTTAAATTATAGTAAGCTAATTTCCTAGAGTAATATAATAACATACTATTACCAGCAGGTGTATTCAATACTTTTTGGAGATCGAAGCTGCAACATAGAAATCCATCTTTTCCACTTCTTTCTTGATCGCTTTTGAACACATCATAGGTATACTGCTTTTCTTTAAGATGATTTTCTTGTATCATATTTTCATCTTCGGTTAAATTTTCTCTGTTATTGTAAGCTTCACAGTGGGTGCATTTGTCTTTTTTAGGGACATGTATACCAATATTATATTGATCTCTCCATACTTTTTGAAATATTGCACTTGAAACTGTTAAGTTATTATTTAGTTTACAATCTTCAACATAGATTCTATAAACATGTGCTAAGCTCTGAAATTCACTGCCAATGTATTTTTTAGTTGAGGAACTCCTGCAATAGTGAGAAGGTACAGCTGGTAGTTTATTTATAAATGTATGAACAATTTTTATAACTTCTTCAGAGGTTTTGTTATATGCTGATTTTTTACCTCTGTCATCAATCTTCGATAAACCTAAATCAACTTTATTGTCCCTTGTAAATCTTAATAACTTTTCAGTTATATTCAATGTATTTAATAAATACTTTCTACAAACAACTTTGGTAGTGTCATTAATAGATAAAGAATATTTGTACATGTTAAAACGGTTACTTTCATGAGTAACATACTGTCTCTTTGCATCATACCTTACCATACAGCATAGTAAGTAATCTCGTTTCCTAGTATGATCAAAATCTTTCCAATATCTATTAAATATTATTAATCTTTCTTCTTCTGTTATAGTATTACATTCATTAGTACATTTTTTTCCTAAACAAGGGTTTTCTTTTATATTTTTTTTGTCAACTGTTACAATACTCTTATCTTTTTTAAGTTTCTTATAAGACTCACCATACATTATACAAGTTTTCTTATTTAATCTGGCAGCTATTTTTCTTTTCTTTACTCCATAATCATCATGTTCTTCTACATTAAGTACAGAATCCACTATAAAAATATTATTATTATGATCTGAATCTGAATCATCAGCTTCGATTTGGTCAACATTATCTGATGAACTACATTCAACTGCTCTAGGTGACACATATTCATCAAATGAAATACTGTCTGATATATTATTATCATTATTTATTGTATAATTTTGATTGTCATCTACCACAGCATCCTCATTATTAGCTATAACAATATTATTATCATCTGAGAAAACAAAGGTGTCAATGGCATTTATATCTATACTATTTAAGTCATCAATATTATTAATATTGACATTTTCTTCTGTTGCAGTGGAATTTTGAATATTTGTTGAAGTTTTTTTAGCTAAATCTAAAAGAATTTTACTTCTAGATGAGATCATATTTATTACAAAATTAACAACACTATTTAAAACAAAAAAACTTTAACAATCTACTAAATTAGTAGGTAGTAGGTACTAACTACTACTAAACACTAATACACATATTAATTATTATGTAGTAACTAGTAATATTTTATAACATTGTATTAATCATAATTTATAAATTTATTACGATTAATGATTACGATTAGGTATCCTAATTAGGTAAGCTATCTATTATTATTAAGTGTGATTTTCCCTCTAAATTCTTATCAATAAAACAAAGATACGAATTTGTATTATTTGTAGATCATCTGACGTTTAGTTAACTGTCGCATAATGTGAACCACAATATCAATTTAATTTTTAATTTGATAAAAACGTGATAATTTAAAACTAGTTTGTTTATTCGAGAAAACTCCTAGCAATTCCTGTGGTATACGCCCTTTTAACATTTTCCGTTTATATATAAATATATTCTTTAGGGCGTTTGGATTTCTTATATCCGCTATATAGAGAATAATCCTCAATATTTTTAACCACCCCAATATTACAGATTATGCTCCTATTTTTTCTGAAAATTTTGATACCAAAAACTAATTTTTCGATTTTTTGTGGTATACGCCCTTTCAACAAAACACCATCGATATGTTAAGCAATCAAACTATATGGGAAACCATAACTTATATAAATGTGTGGACTATTTATACATATATATATATATATATATACATACATAATATAATAATAATAATATAATATAATTGTTTAATTTTATTATTTTTTTTCAATATATTATACATTGCATAATATAACATAATACACACTATATGTTAGAATATTGTTTTAGATGCCCAACAAAAAATTTACATGGTACATTTTTTGGATTTTATGCTTCATATTTATTTGATTACATTTAATGTTATATATTTATTTTGGTACTACACAAAAGTTTTATAACAATAGCAATAGGTAATTTAGTAATTTTTTTTATCAATTTCATTTTATCATACATGGAATAATATAAATTTTAAAGAGGAAGTTACAAAACAGATCATTATCTGAATCTATAATAGTACTACACAATTATTAATTTTACCTTTGTTATTAGATGAATTCATATGATATACCTAATCTACACAAATTAAAAAACATGTTGCAATAGACACTGTTCAAATAAATCGAAATCTATAAGGAACAAACCTTAATTTGAAGTAAGTAAACAATTGTTCAATTAAAGCTAGGAATTAAAATACATTTTTGGATTTTAATATTTTAGTTTATCAAGTGTTAAAATATATGAACTTTTTGAATGTTAATGACAATTGAATAGTGTTATAGTTACATAACTAAATAAATACTAAATTGAACTATAAAAGACAATATAAGTTACATTCAAATAAATAGACATGTTAGTGATTATAAGTAAAGACCGGATTTTGCATAAAATTCATGTTGCTATTTTCAACATCACTTACATGCAGTCAATGAGTGTCCAAAAATCATTACTTAGTTGATTAAATATCAAAATTTTGTAATGCGTATTTTTGCAAACTCTGACGTTAATGCATGTTCTGCATATTTTTGCATATTTTAACAAAAACCGTACAAATATACACCTAATGATCCAAAAAAGTATTGAGCAAAACAAAAATAGATTTTAGGTACATTTATATAATATTAATATCAAATATTTTACATCTCAAAGAATATTCGGACGCTAAAAATAGGTCAGGTTATTATTTTTCCAACTAACTTACTACATGACATTTTTCATACTTTTTTCCTAATTATATCTGTAGGCATATCACCAATGTATTTACTATTTAATTTTAATAAAATATTTTTTACAATGTATCAATGATTAAATTATGTTATTATACTACATATTTGTTGTATTATACATCTAACTTTTTGTTAATAAAAATTTTAATAAAACTAATAATTAATTATCACTGCAAAATTGATATCAAATATAAAATGTGATAAAAATTGAAATTTTATTTTGCATCTTTTTCTTGCATATTTTGACTTTATTAGTGCATGTTTGCATGCATATTTTAAAATTGTAAATGCATATAAATCCAGTCTTTACTTATAAGATTGTACGATATGTAAATTGCATGAAAATGAGAAAAAGTATGTACAATTGTTTTTATGTAAAGGGACATATGTCAATTTTTGTTGGTTTTCAGTAGACCCAGATAACTCAAATATTATTATTTTTCAGTTGACTCATTTTGATTTTTAATTTATGTTTTGTTTATAATTATATACTTTTTTTAGTATATAAAGGGTATAGAACTTGTAAACTATAGTACTAGGTAAGTAAAAATATAAAAATTAGTTTAATTTGATAAAACAAAAATAATAAATAACTTGTGTCGTTTTTGCATTTTAAAGCACTGTAATTACAAATCCTTGTACAACAACAGTGGACTGCCATATAAGTTCACACAAAATAAAGTTGTGTAAAAATGTCAACATTTGATTTATTACCCTTCACATAAAAATCGTCCAATTGTAAAATTGAATCATTCTATGAATAATTTTTTATGCACCTAGCAATAATAAATGAATATTTAATTGTTTTAAGATGTATTTATTGCACTTAAGACTAAAGAACTAGATCTGCCGCTTACAGGTGTCATTTTATATATTAAAAATTCCCATAACTTTTTATTATTGTCATAATATCCGACCCCATATTTTGTTGTATTATATTATGATTATACAACCGGTCTATCATTGAGTCACTCTTCCTGCAGGTTGTAAGCTATTACCAAAGCAGTTACTATATCCCATTTCTTAGAAATCATATATCTGAATGTTATTTATTTTCATACTCCTGATATCTGTTATTTTGATATTAAATGTGTTAAGAAGTGTTTATAATCAACTTAACAATCCGACTTACCCCTAACGTTAATGATTATGTAGGAATGTAATGTAAATTATATTATTATTAAGAAAGTGGGACACCAGTCTATAGCAGAAGCTTATGAAAAATTAAAATAATTTATCTCTTTAGACTATAGTACCTAATTAAATGATTAATTTTAATATTTTATAGCTATGAACTAAGACAATGTTAATATATTTTTATGAAAAAATTTTAATATACCTAGATATATGGTAAGTTCACATTATTTTCCCTGCATAAATTATAAATAACCACTCTACTAGATTTTTAAAAAGTATTTGGAACGAATAATACATATGAAAAATAATATTTTAATTACAGAATTCTAAATAAATTTAAAATATTTTTTTTTAGATATCAAAAATGATACTTGGTTTTAGAAATATTTTAAATTAAAGCCAATGTTAAAATAATATATGGTATTGGTATATTATAGATATCATGCATTATATCACTTATTTGTGATAATTTATGACATAATAATAACAATATTTTACTTTAAACCTAATTTTTTTCATTTTTTGTCTCTAGAAAGACCCAAAATAACTCACTAAGCAAAAAAAGGTTTGATAGAGTAAGGTGCAAGAGCACTAAAAATTTCTCAAACCGCCATTGTCTAAGTGTACAGAAAGAAGAATATAAATTTAATGTGGTTATTTGAACTAGGTAGTTTTTCAAATTGAATTGTTTTTTGGATTTCCAACATATATTATTATATAAGGTACTACTTTTTAACTGGTCATTGGTGTTGAGGTAAGTGTGAAGCTCACCTTATTAATATTTAGAGAACCATAAGTTTAATTATTATTAAATGCCTCTGGGACCATTAAATCTAGATGTTTCTAAGTATAATTTTGTAAAAAAAAGAATTGTATAAACATTTCTTCATAACTTATCAACCTGATTTAGACCTCTTAAAGTGAGTGTTACATCATACACGTCATGTTTAGTGTGTAACAATGAACAAAATTGTCAGTATAATATACCCGAGCCAAGGTATATTATAATAAGCATGTATCTAGTTATATTAATATAATTTTATTTAAATCTGATAAAAAGTTTTTTAGACACCACAGACATCACAATCTGTTTTTGAAAAAAAATCTTTAAAATCATCAACATAATGTATCGTAGTCAAAATGTCCATAGATCATGTTTAATGACTCGGCCTGGCTGCCTATTATAATAGCTACAACTACAAATTAACAAATGAAGAGGAACTTTTACATTCGAGTACAACATTTTCAGAATTACATAATTATAGCAATAAGTGGAACACAGAGAAGAGAAAGGGCGCTTATCGAGGAAAATGAACAAGTGAAATTGAAAGCATTAAGCACAATCTTTTCCCTCTGAGACGCCACATTTAGAAAAGCACGACATAGATGTGCCACCGACTTCATGCATTGTTTGTACCCTTCGAGTAAATAGGTCAGACGACAAATGTTTAAGTCGTCAGTACATTATTCCTTAGTTACCTTGGTCATGCCGACTCCGACGACGTACACCTTGGGCTTGGACATTTTTTGTTTGGCAATTGGGATGCGTATAGGTAAGATAATCAACAAAAAAACGGATAAATTGAAAGGGAAATAAAAAAGTTTAGCAAAAAAATAAAAAACAAACACGACGGACGATGCCGGCGGCAACAATGACTGGCAACTGAAGGCTGAACCGCTGCGGCATCACACTATTCACACTATCACACCGTCAGCAGTTTGATGAACACGTCTTTATCAGCGAAATTGTTATCACACGCGCGCACATCGACGACATGGAAATTGTATGGAACTGTTTTTTAAGGTCGCCCGCTGAACAGGCCTTCGATAGCGTTTGCTGACGTCAGCGCTCGGTAACATCGTAGTGCATTAGTACAACTTACCGAACAAGCGTTTCGTAAAAAAATACGGAAGTCGGTAGAATATTTTCGGCGATAAATATGTTTTTCTACCGATTATTTCTATCTACACTGTTAACCAGTACTTTAACATTAAGCTATCGGTAAACAATTTATTTATTATACCTTGTTCCCGGCATTTAGTTTTAATCGTATCAATTAACATTTTAACATTGTTATTTTTACTATTAATTTAAGTCTCACCTTCTCAGAAATTTATTTTATTGCCAAGTAAATTAAATAAGCAGTACCTAAATCAAAAATATTATAGTTATATAATAATCAAAAAATACATTGCCGTGTTTATTTATTTTGGGCCCCGCAATATATTCCGCCCACGGGCCACAACATAAGTAATATTGTAGTCTGTAGATACCTAGACTATGTTTTATAATACATGAAAAATATTTTACAATTACAAAATACATCACCCTTAACTCTACAGGTAGTCTATATACATCATAATAATATAGCAATTATTATATGTATTAATTCATTCGTATGGTACCTATAAATAATATAAGTAGGTACCTAAGTGTCAACGCACCTTTTTATTATTAATTTTATTTTTTTAGTCTGTGTATGGCTATGTAGAAAATATATGTTAGTTGCTGACATGTCAATTGCAATTGTAATGAAATATTTTAAAAGAATTCAACGATTCATTACGACAATGTAGACGTCATCACATTTTTACATTTTTATGTATACCTATTTAATCTTTTTACCATTCTGTTGTTAAGCTATTTTCATAAAATACGCATTAGGTTAGAATTGAAATTCTATATTGATGACTGAAGTCTGAAGTACAGCTATACAGGCATAATTATTATGGTCACCTACGTATTACCCACCCCGACCCCCACTATAGCCAAAATATATGCAGATTTATAGCAGCTATAGGAGCTAAACATTTCTATGCATCAGACCGTTTGTTTTGTTATTCATTTGTAATAATTTTTTACCAAAACAAATAAACACAAAATCAAATTTCGTTTCCTGGAGTTGCAAAATGACAGAACCACACAACTGTGTAACTATTCAATATTACCTGTACATAATATATTAATATTTGTTCTGCTCACTTTTAACGGGACGGACCAAAACCTAGATCCTATTTTCCTCAAAAAAAAAAGGGAAAGATGCTTACTTTCTATTCTCCTCCAAGTATTAAAATAAATCATATTTAATTTTATAGTAGTTTAACCAATATTTTAACTTTAATAGAAGAGAACATTTTGCAGATCACATTGAAGCCCGATTTTCAAAATTATAACTATAGAAGCTAAAATATACATTTAAATAATGCACAGTATTTGTTATTTTTCAAACGAATTTTTATGGCATTATTTAAAGTGAAATTAAAATTCGGGCTTTATTCTAAGCTTAAAAAGTTCTCACCTTTCAAAAAACAAAAACAAAATTTTTTTTATGATGCACTGTATCCAGTATCGACCTGACACCTAAAGGACCATGGATGTATTTCTTCAGAAGGGCTCTAAAAATGTTTTTCATAAAATTATAAAAAATATATTTATTAATAGAGTAAAATATCATAAAATTTCTAAGGTACCATATTTAAAATAAACCAACAATTAAATTTAGAATTAAGTTAGATTGATAATTTAATATTCTAAAGAATTATATACAAAATATAAATAATACCTTATCATGTTCTACAACTTAATATTTTTTTTAATGAGATTCAAATTCAAAATTAACTGTGCAGTTGATTTTATTTATATCAGTAATTTTAGATTCTGAGCGTGATGATGATCTGATGAATGTATTGATCTCACAATGATGTATGTTTTAATATTTCTTTTTTCTTTTTTGTGTCTGTCATTACGGTTTCTTGCTGTAAAATGCTTCGATTTTCTTAAACAGCAACTTTTCTGGTAGGAAAGTGAATCTTAATGGTGCATTCGGGAGGTAAAAATTCCCGATAGTTTTCAAAAGCAACAGAAAAAACAAACAAAAAATTAAGGGAAACCCGGAATTTTTATTCAAAACCATTTTTCAAGAAAATCTATTTTGGTTTTTAGTTAACACTAACAAAAATGACAGTAAATACATGAAATGTTCACTGTATATTTGTGTAAGCATTTTCTATTCACTATAAAATTTTCAAAATATTTTGATTTGTGAACTGTTTAAAGGCATATGACATTTTTGATTATTATTATTTTTTTTAACTCAAGACGACAAAAAATTTTCGCTCGGTCAAAAAACTTAAAAATGTAATACAATGTTCTTAGTAAGTTGTATAATGGAAATTTTAAAAAAAGTTGAGCGTAAATCTACAATAAATTTTTATCAGCGTTTAAACTTAGAATTTTGACAAAATTCGTAAAAATCACGAAAGTTAGAATATTCAAAAAAATTCTTTTTGTATTCTAATGTTTAAAAAATGATTACAAGATTCCTTATAATTTTGTCTATCTTTATCAAAAGTCTACCGCAAAGAACGAATTTAGCTGAAAATAATTTTAATTTAATGAATTAACACTCTAATTTACATAAAATAGAATTGATCACAGGACGACGACGAGGAAGACATTGATGTAATTATTTAAATAGGTTTTTATTTTACTATTGTCTATTGTGTAGCAATGTAACATTATGGTACTTATATGTATACATTTTATATTCATTGTGATTAACCCTGAGATCTAAAGGCATATTATAAATAGGTAAGTATAGAATTTTCAACATTTTCTATTTTTCTTTTTCTGAAAATTGTTTTGAAGGTTACATTTATTTATCGTCAAGGAGCGCTAAGGAGGCCTCGATTTTTCAAAAAAATATTGTGTGAAGCTGTGCACACATTTAAACTGTAGGAATGAATGTAGTTATTTCCCAAGCAAGTTTTTGGAATTTTGTTTTTGGTATGTTAGTATTTTTGTGCTCAAAGTTTCGGTGAAATCACAATTTACTTATCTTTGACACTTTTTTTATTGTTAATACATCAAGTACAACTCAAATGTAGGTCTTACGTCGCTTATTAATAATAAAAAAAAGTAAGTAAAATAAGTAAACTCTGATTTCACCAAAACGCTGATCATAAAAATACCAACATTTCATAAAAAGAAAATTTCAAAAAAAAAGCTTGGGAAGTAAACTCGCTCGTTCCTTAAGTTTAAATGAGTATACCGATACACAGTATTTTTTGCGTTCCTGGCGGTCTAATCCTGCCTTAAATACCACCGAATGACGACTCATTTTTCGAATATTTTGAAAAAAAATGAAAGAAGTAATATGGATATGTGAGTGTACAAGATTTCAAAAGCCGAAAAATGGGAGGGGGCAAACTAAATAGAAAAATAAAAAATATAAAAATAAAAAATGTACAAAATACCCAATTACAATTAAATACGTAAAAAACATCGTTGGACTGGGAACACAATAAACCTGTAGATGTCGAATGGGGTGGATATGCAAGTTTTAGGCCACTGGTTATCTCCACAACAGTCTCACGACCGGCCACAAGCGCGGACAAGTGTCACTGGCGCGTGCACGAGGGAAGAGTGACGACCTTGCCCAGCCGACCAGGCCAGACCGAGACAGCCGCTCAAGCGATGGTTGACGGCGACGGGCAGCGGTGGCTAGTGCACTATGTTTGCGCGTTGTCGGTTGACGGCGGACACCAGTTGACACACGTAGTGGTGAAGCAAGTTTGGTGCTGCGGAGTGGAAATGCGTCAAGAGCGTTTTCCGTTACTTTTTTTGTCGCCGAAGAGAAACCGTGCACAGCTCGCAATAATTTAGCCCCCTTAGGATCGAAGACGTCGATAGGATGACGATATGATATTTTTTACCTGTAATATTATACAAAATATGGAATTATTTTAGGTAGGTACCTCGAACATTTTAATATAATGTATGAAAACGAATTATAATTATACATAATTATTTTATTTTTCTGCAGTGTAGGAACACTAACTGTACTAATAGACAATAGTAAATAATAAAGTTTAAGTTAAAAAAAAAAGTTTAGTTTGTTAATGTCTTGTACGTTATGTAGGTATTATAAAATAATACAATAAATTAGAGGAAAAATGGTTTTCGAAAAATTCGATTTTGGTTTTTGATGTAACTATAACAAAAAATTACTGTAGATACATGACATTTTCACTGAATGTTTATATCATCATTTTCTTTACACTTTAAAATTTACAAAATATTTTGAACTATTTATAAGCTTATGAAATATTCGATTATTATAAGTTTTTTTTTAAATTGATGTCAATAAAAAATTGTTAGTTCTGTCAAAAAATTCAAAAATGTAATACAAGGTTGTCAAGGTTCATCGTAAGTTGTTAGTGAAAATTAAAAAAAAATTGAGCGTAAATCCATTACAGTAATATTTTACGAGCTTTTGAAATTAGAATTTTTACAAAATTAGATAGGTATTCGATATCTCATGTAGCGATTTTCTTATTTTGTTCCAACTAAAAAACGGATAACTATAGATACTTGAAATGTTCACCAAATGTTTATATTAGAATTTTCTAATCTCGGTAAAACTTAAGACTCAATTCAAGCTATTTAAATAGTTATTTAAAATGTACGAGTTTGATTACATTTTTTCTTTTGTGTTGATAGAAAAAATTTGGCTCAGTCAAAAGTTTATCGGCGGGTAATACACGTATATTGTTCCTTAAAGCAATTTTATTCAAAAATATTTAAAATACAGATAAACTATTTTTCTTAATAAGCATTTGAAATTCAAACAAATATATACCATATTCTTCAAAGAAAATTTGTTGTTAAAAATGTATAAAATATTCAATTT